TGGGATGGTATCCTGGAGAAACAATACACTCGGGGATAGATATGTACGTCTTTGCGCCATGCCCTACACGAAAAGAGCTTGTTGCCATCTGCGTACATGCAAACCGAGTCTGCGGTCATTTAATAAAATAAAAAATAGCCCTAGCATTCGTTAACTCATTATATAACTAAAATTTTTGTTTTAATTAGGTAAGGTATATTAGGTTTAAAATTTTTATCTTTATGAATAAAACTAAAGGGAAAACCTTTTTTTATATTCCACCTTGTTTATCATACACACAATAAATATCGACATAATACAGACATTTGATGTCTACCCGATTGAAATTATTATATGCCGATTCGAACCCACTACCGCACTTAAGGCAAGCCAAAAACAGTAGATTTTAATATACATAATGACATATGTAGCTAAACGATGAGATAACACTTAAATCGTCAACAAACAAAAACTTCCTCTTTCCATTTTTACGATTGTAAGTGGACAGTGACTAATTGTCAACAGATTTTACATTCACAGAACGAAAATACAATTGTTTTGCGAGAAACACTCCGCGTTTCGTAAATTATGCGAACGCTATACAATCTACTGACGATGCGAAATAATTGTATTATACTACTGAACTTGACATATATTCGAACACCGTTTTTTGCCAGGATTTTATTTATGAACATCAAAAACAAACATTGCATACGCCGCAGTGTCATAAAAACGTGAATATATTGTACGGCAAGAATGTTACATAAAACTGCTTTAAACGCGTTTAAATTCGAATAATATTTAGGGTAATTAATGGCCTTTACTATAATATACATGTATAAATTTATACTGTGTTTGAAAAATTTATGGATCTTTGTTACTATTTCACGCCCAAACGAGTTCACAGCTTGACTGATTATCATAAAATTTAGTCACGATTTCGCTTTAACCCTTATATGACACAGATAAAATATATAAAATGAATGTATATAAATTTTAATATATACTAATGAATGTATATAGATTTCACTAAACACTTCAAGACACGAACTTTATTAGTAAATTGTATTTACCAGTTACACTTTATTATTTACAACTTTAACAAACTTATTTGTACCTTATTTGTTGTATAAGTATTCGATTTTTCCACGTATATCCTATGTCAAGCGAGAAATTTGATACACGTCGGCATTACTGTTTAATCACTTATCAAATTATGCTAACGCTATTCTGTTTAAAGGAATACAGTATATCGCAAAGTTGTCCTGTTCTGTATCTAAGTGATCTCCAAAACGAACGAACAATGCTGAAATTATCCTAAAACTAGTAACAGAAACACAACTTCTTGAACTACGTACTTCCGTAATAGAATTTTGATCGTTTCTAAATTCAAATTAATCGGACCTAGTTTGAATGTTAGCGAGCAGCACAGTGAATAATGAAATGTATTACTAACCTGTTTTATAGGTTATGCGCGTGCGATGCAGGGCGGGCGGTCTGAGACTGGGCGGGCGGCGCGGCGGCACCCTCTCTATTCGAGCTACACTCGTTTTATTCGAGGTCTTCGTAAGCGAGACGGTTTCGAGACAACTCACAACACGCATATGTACACTTGGAATACTCTTTCGCTAAATTACACGTGAAACAACAAATACAAATGCTAAAAGTTATATTGAGATTTATATTGGTATTTAAAATTTTCTAATGTTTTTTTTCTTTGTTCACAATTTTTTTAGAAACTTAGGATAATTGCATAGTGGCAGTTACATCGTAGTTAACATAATATGTCTGTTGTAATTCTTACAGCTATTATAAAATTAATTTGTAATTTTAATATTCAAAATAAGACAGCAATAGTGAGGAATAACAAGTATTTATGTAGAATTAATATTTTTTTTACAAAATACCTACCTGTAAGTGTGTGTTGGTTTTAGCGGGAAAGAAAAAACTTAAAGGTATACCTAGTTATTAAATTATGAATTGTATAATCTAAACTAAATATAACAAAAGTTTGGGGTGTAAATAATTTAAGCAATATTTATTTAGCAGTAAACAATTTACAGTTTATTTTAACTACAGTCCGACGTTTCAGATGCTTTGCAGCAGTCTTGGCAGCAACGGTTTAATTACTTAACTACGTAATAAATGTCGCGTTTTAAACCGTTAAAATTTTTTATCGTTTAATATCGTTGATTGGAGCAACAGATGTCAATGAATATAATAAAAAACATCAATAGATTTTGTAGCTAACTGTAAAAAACTAATATCAACTCGCAAAATTTTATTAACTTAATTGTAAAAACTCAATAACAAAAACATTTAGTATTTTGCTACTCAATTTTACTTCTTAAGTATAAGTAGAAGATGCGAGTTCGTAAGGTGAATCGTACCACAGTTTTAGGCAAACCGAATATGCCCCCGTACATTCCATGTCTATTTATATTAATGGAATAAATACAAAAGTGCTAGCGTATTCATGTTCATCCAATAAAAGCGGAAGCTGGTTTATTATGACGGTTATTGCGTTATGGATTTTTAGGTTAATATATGCTTACCAGCACAGTGGTTGAACGCTAGCTTTATTTTAAGATGGCGGTCCTGGATTTGAATATCGAAATCGAATTTTATTCCACCTGGACTGGAGACTGGGGATGACTCTGCTGCTTAAATATTACCCCTTGCTTTGTGTAGAAATATTATTATATTGTAAATAAATCAAGAAGTTTTTGTTAGAGTTAATTCTGCTCTAGCCTTTTCCTACAACTAACGTATCAATCAAATTTTAGAGAAATAAATAGTCTTTATTAAATACTGTCTATAGTTTACGCGAGTAAGTAGTACACATTTAAATAAAACACTTTAACGGTTTAAAACGCGATATATTAATTAAACTTATTAGAAAATGATTTTTAACTTCGGCCCGACGTTTCGGATGCTTTGCAGCAGCCGTGGTCACGGGGAGAATTAAAAATCAATTACAAATAAGTTTGACTAATATATCGCGTTATAAACCGTTAAGTGTTTTATTTAAATAAGTCGTTATTAACTTTAAAATAATAAACTTTTATGAAAGACATCTATTGAAACAAAATTAACAAATATACAAGAAGAAGAGTTACATCAAATCTTGGTTATACCACCATTAAATTAGTAGATGGCGCTTTATGCAATAGACAATTTCATTAAAATTTTACGTGACTTCGTGTCTACTGAAACTTTCTACAAACATATAAACTGTGAAATACCATTTCCCAGTGTGGGAACAGGGGCTAGACGTATACAGTCTTTTTTTCTGATAGTTTTTTTAATGTAAATATTTGATCTAATTTCAACTAATTCTAACTGTTCTGCCGGAACGAAACTATTTAGTTGTTTCGGAAATCGAACCCAAAGACCGTATATACCATAATACGTTAAATGTTGAGCCTCGTAATGGTCGGTCTACCAAGAAATGGTAGTTTTTTATTCCACTACGTCACTAACACCGTGTGTACGTTAATTAAATAAAAAATATCACTCAACTTTTGAGGTCGCCTGTTCTGTTCTTTTAGCAAAAACATTCCTTGGAATATTATAAATTATTCTTCGTTCTGAATCAATTTTATTTATATTCTTTCAAAGGAACGGATATCGGATGCAATTTGCTTTTAATTGTTTAAATCAACACGAGGAAAAGTTAAATACTTTTCGAAATTAATAAAATGACAGACAAATAAAATGAAGGCTCTATTCGTAAAATATAGTTAAGAAAAATCTTTTATAGTTTCTAAAGGCTTATAAAAAGGAGTATTAGAGTATATTGTGAATAGTCTTTTAGGAAACTTTTTTTGGACTGAAAGGTTTTATATAAGTACTAGCTGTGCCCGCGACTTCGTTCGCGCGGAATAGTGGCTTGGGGTAGAATTTTTAATTATTTAGGCTGTTTATTAATTTATGTAATTGCGCATCTATTCAGCCAATCTATGTAGTAAGTGCTACTTTGCCACAACACTCTCACTTGAGGTGAGACTGATCACTCCTACTCTAACTCCCACTCCCACTCCTATTCCTAAAGCAAAAAGTGTCATTGTTCTAGCTTCAAAAATCTCGAATTTCCATACAAACTTTTAACCTCCTCCTTTTAAGCCCTTACAACCCCCTTTTCGCAATTAAAGTCTATGTCCTTTCTCTGGGTCTAGACCATCTGTATACCAAATTTCATTCAAATCCGTTCAGTAGTTTTGGCGGGAAAGAGTAACAGACAGACAGACAGAGTTACTTTCGCATTTATAATATTAGTAAGGATTGTAGCTTTATAACATGTTATTTCATAATTTATAATTGAGTCTGTTCTAAACTGTGTTTATCTGTAATACTTAGTAGGTACATATTTTTTAGTAAATATAATTATAATAAGAGAGGGTAAAAAAATACAGAAAAATCGAACGAGTTTTTATTTACGTCTTTTTATGTGCGTAAAAAGTTATTTTTACTAATGGATGCAGAAATAACATAACATTCCTATTAATCGAGCGGTAGAGAAAAATCAAGTAAAGAACAACAGCACGGGACGCTGTCAACTCATTTTTTTTTATAAAACTCTATTTTGTGCCATGATCTTTTTAATTACTGAAAAGTATATACTACGAGTATGTAGTTCCATTACTTAGATCATAAGTTTTATTTAGTACACTTTGTAGTGTTTAATTCTTGTAGTTATAGAGATATCTGATGTTTCCTCATTTACTATATTTTAAAGTTATAGGCTTCAAATAAAACTCCCTTCCTTTTTGAACTTTTATTATTTTTTTACTCTTTAACATAAATAGCATTTATTTTTATAATTAATTAAAGTTAGAGTTACAAACGTATATTAAATATGTATTGCACAATTAATAAATAAATAATCATATAAAACATTTTTCACTTTTAACTAGTGCACATAGAGATTTCGTACAATTCAGCGCCGATGACTTAAAAATAATGAAAAGCGTTTTGGGTTTTCGGTTCCTTTATTTCAATTAATTAGCATTACAATAAAAATGTTGGCGGGATGTACGGTCGGCGGTCGGCTGGAGCAATGTGGAGACACGGCAGCTTTAGGGCGCGCCAAAGCGCTGAGCGTCCATCCCGAGTCTGCCTCTACAAGATGGCGTCAGGAGACTCGTCGTCCACTGGCGCTATCTGTCGGAACTCAAACATCACTTATCGAACGACTAGGCTTAACCCGACCGGAATTGTGCCCCTGATGGTGGTGAGAAATGCTGATGAGGCGGGGCTAAGAATGGGTCGCTCACTCCGTGCTGAGAGCGCGGGACTCTTGCACTAGGTATACTTGTGAGCCAGGTACAGTGGAGGTGGTGACGAAGGTGCGGTGCTTGGCGCGGATGAGAGAGAGATTGCTCTCGGCAGTGTCAGCACGGTCTTCAGCAGCTTCAAGCTCACGCTGGAATCGTCGCACTCTTGTGACGCTTTGTTGGGAGAGACCCTCCTGTAAAGACCATTTCACATTTTAACTACCAACCACATTTAAACACAAAGACAAATGTATTATCTATTATGGCTTATAGTCTTACCTGTTCAGTCAACTGTCTCTTGTAAATGTTGACTTTCTGGGAGCATTTCTCCAGAGAATCTTGCAGGAGAGTAATGTTCTTTTGGTCTTCTTCGCATTGGATCATGATTTCCTTAACTTGGCGTTCCTTCTTGCGGAGGATCTTGATTGTCTCAGCGTGTCTCCTCTTCTCCTCGTCCAGCTCGAGCTCCATGTCCTTCATACGGGCCTCAAGTTTGCTGATGATGCGCTTACCACCAACGATGGCATTGGCTTCAACTTCTTCCAAGCGAACGGAAATGTTCTGAAACGGCAAAAAAATTTGTCTGACTGTACTACTTTCCTCCCCTACAACATATTAAATATGAAGCTGTCGTAATTATAACTGAAAACTTGCTTTAAACTAGTAATTACCTTGACTTCAATTTCAAGTGACTTCTTAATAGCTTCAATCTTGACGATCCTTTCTTGTTCTTCGTGTAAGTGCTCAACGGTGTGTTTCAGCTCAGTCTAGAATAGATAAAGAATTATAATTATGTGATTAAAAAATAAGTACTAGGAGATACTAAATATTATCTAAATTAATTTCTTAATCTTAAATTAATGGGTTTCCCACACTAATAGGATATAATTTGATAAATTTTCTAATATGCTCGAATAGTGTCAAGTGAATTCACCATTATAAGCCATCATTACTAATTTATTACAATATTTCACTAGGTTTTTAAATTACCTGCACACGTTGGTAACGCTCATCAGCCACACGCAGTTCCTTTGTGATTTCATCGTAGTCAGCTGCGACAACGGCCAACTCTTGTTCAATCTTGGCTTTGCTGCTGGATAAGTTGACGTTGATGACAGTCAATTCATTGATGCGTGTCTGGGCCTCTTCGAAGGATTGTTCTACAGTGCGCTTGGCACGGAGGGCCTAAAAGATGTAACAGGAATATTATAAAATGTTCTCCAGTGGCTATAAATAGATGTCCTAGCGGAAGTTGATTTTTAAATCTTGATTTAAATTTGCTCAGATTTTTTAAGTAACTTTACCTGTTCGTAATTGCCACGGATCTCCTCAACCTCACCGGTGAGCGATTGAATTCTGCGCTGGGCGACACCATATTGATCAAGTGTTACTTGCAACTGCCTCTGAATCTCGTCGTAGTGGGTTTGAATCTCGGTAAGCTGAAGGAAAAACATAAATATTATTTGAGGTAGTAAAGAACGTTTACGATTTGAACAACAATTATATTTTCAATACCTGCAGAGATTGCTTCTTGATGGTCTTTTGCAGGTCAATGTTGGTCTTGTTTGCAACATCAAGAGACAGTTCGAGCTCGGTGATTTGGATCTGCAGCTTCTTCTTAATGCGAGTAACCTCGGTCTTGAGCTTGGTCTCAGCCTCAACGACACGAGCGTTAAGCTGTTCAATCTCAATGCTAGTCTGCTTGCTGTTGAATAGAATATACTATTTAGATTTTTATTTTTGTTTTTCGTTAACTGCTTAGACTAAAATCGTTTAAAAACGTTTTACCTGCCATGAGCAAAAAGACTCATATCAAGTCTATCAAATTGTTTAATCGTTTCTTTTAATTCGTTCAATTTTTCAACGTATTCAATATTGACGCTCGGTATATCCGTTTCCACTTGCACGACACACACTTTGGGTGAAACATCGCTAAATGTTTTGATAGATTTTATTTTGAAATCAGCATTGACATTTTCTGGTAAATCTAAATGTTTCAAATACGCTGACTTAGCTTCTTGAAATGCGTCATCAATTTTAACAGATTTCTTTTGCAGTGCTTTTGTTCCACTTACATTCTGAGTACTTTCGTTAAGCAATGTTTTAGCAATAGCTCTAGCTGACTTTCCTCGATATAACTTAGCTTTAGATTTAAGTTCTGCTTCAATATCTGCATTGGAACCAAGTTTAGCCAATTGTCTCTCTGCTTCCTTGAAATATCGAGATTCTTTTTCTAATTTCATATTTTCTCTCTGAATTTTCTTCTTTTTGGCTTTCACTGTCACGCTTTCGGTTTCAATGTGTTTTGTGACATTTGCAGCTGCCGCTGTAGCAATAACAGAAAATGGAGATCGTTTGGAAACACCTACAGCATCGAGATTTCGTTTGGCCTGATGTGCTACTTCTTGGGATATATTCCGCAAATCTTGTTCCGAATAAGCTTTAACTGGTTTATCAAATCTGTATTTTTCCAAACCCCTTTCGTTATTCCATGGTAAATGCGGTGGCTTCACAGCCCTTCCCTCTTTTTTAGCAGAGATATAATCTATCATAGGTTGATAAAAATTGATTCCGTAACCGTAGTTGTCTTCGTATATTGCTGTTGGTGGTTTGGTCCATTTATAATCCACTTTGATGGATGCCATGATAAAGAAAACTCAGAGTTCAAACCGAAAACTGGTTCCTATCGCGATCTACGATCACTAAATACTGCGGTTTATTTAATGATTTTCTGTCGATAATATTGCCAACCACCATATTTGCGTAGCGCTAGGACTAGCCAACTAGAGATTTATCTATTTTTAAACGGGAATCTTGCCAATGTGCATATTACTTCTTAATGAAAGATCCGTACATTTAGCGAACCCGGATATATATTAAGGTGAAGTATTTTTTTATTATTAAATATAGATATATATGACATTTTAAATGAGATAACTGCGTAGCCTATTGTTATATTAGATATTTAGTTCTATGTAGTTTCTGTTTGTATGTAATTTAAATATATTTTTTTTACAATTTAAGGCATTAAAATTAAGAAAGAAAGTGAATTAACTCACCGGATGGATTCAATTTCTTCATCCTTCTCTTGGAGGCGGCGTTCAGCCTCATGACGGAACTGGCCAAGTTCAGAAGCCAATCTCATGGCACGCTGTTCTTCAGCTTTACGGCCCTGGAATATTGATGATGTTTTATGCATTACAATTAACTAATGGCAATTGAAAACAAAATATATAATATTGTTTTTTAAAGATAACCAACTTATTTGCTACTAGTGCTGCGTAAGAACGGAATGTGAGTTTTATTGTAAGTATATTGAATTTCTTTAATAATAATTTTAAAATAAGCATTATTATCTAAGATTTAGGATTAGGATAATAAATAAAATAACGTTCTGTATATACAAGTATACTCGTTTAGTATACTTCCACCTAATTAATTAAAATTGTTGCCAAAACATTTTCGTCACGGAGATTAATAAACGCTCAGATTCTAATGAGATCACCTTTATGGTGTTCAGCGTCATTATCTATTTTTAAACTTCTATTATGAAAATCAATTTGATCAACATTGTAACTAGCATTTGATTGTATTATACGACGTCATATCCTTGTGTTGTACTAAGTATTACACAACATAGTATTATCTAAATTAGTACTTAATACATCGAAAACTATTTTTTTATGATAGTAGACGACAGAAATGAGATTCACCCGATGGTAGGTAAAATAGCCCAGCCATGTAACATCAAATTAGAATCGCAAGTCAATTTTGGTTTGGATATTCGGAAATACGCAGACTAAAACCTGGGGATAGGATGGGGAAGGGGATGAAACTTGACGGCTCTTTCGTCGGTGGTTCGTGAAAGAATGTTGATATTCCAACCATCCAATTAATATCCAGATTTCCAGACGATGTACAAGATTCAGAAAAAATATAAATTGATTAACATTTACGAGCCGGTGGGAATCGAAACTTCGACTGATAATCATTAGTAATATACATGGGTAAAATATAAGTAGTCATCGTAACTTATGTTTCCCGAACGTTTGTAATAATGCAATAACTATATGTAGGTAATTAAAGACTTTTTAACAGATCCGCACTATAAGACATAAGTTTATTAATTTTCAGAGAGGTTTTCGATGTTGTACCCGGTGGGGATCGAATCACCCGTTGATTATTGGCCATACATTGCTTCACTAAAGTCCCTTACAACTTAAGTACTTACAGCCTCAGCCTCCTTGTATGCTGCGGTGAGTTCTTCTCGCTCGTTCTCAAGACGGCGCAGCTCGATCTCGAGCTCGTGAAGACGGCGGGTCAACTCGGTGACAGTTGCGCGGGCGTCGTGCAATTCGTCTGTAAGAAAACAGTACGTAAATCATCCAATCAATCACGGGATACTGGAGTAAAATAGCAAATACTTTTAAAATTTAACACTGTAACGGTTTCAAACGCTATATATATAATATATATAGGTTAAACTTATTTAAACATTGAGATCAAAGACACCCTCCATCTTTATTCGCCCCGCGACCACGGTTGCTGCAAAGCACCCGAAACGTGGGGCTGTAATTAAAATAGTGTTCAAATAAGTTTAACTAATGTATATCGCTTTTTAAACCGTTAACGTTTTTGTTACTAGTTTCTGTAGTTTACTCGCGTAAACTACAGACAGGAGTAAACTACAGTAGCAAATGCCCTTTCTAACGTACCTAATTGCTATAAGTAGTAATGAAAATAATTATTAAAATTTAGTTTTCATATTGTTTTTGTATAATATAATTATAATTGTATTTAAGTATTATTGTATTGCTATGGAATTTAATTTTATCTGCAATGGCAGGAAATATTTGTATGTAAATAAAATAAAAAAAATAAACAATAGGCACTGACAGAAAAAAGTCTAACGCGTAGATAATAAGCGTCTCAGCAGCCAAATGGTTAAACGTATTGCCTAGCGTTGCATAAAGCGCGAGGTCCTAGGTTCGAATCTAAAGGAAATAACAGATTGCTTCCGTACGGCACATAAATCCAATCAACTACTTGAAAGTAAAGAAACAATAAGTGAAACGGACACAGAAATGTCCACGCCCCATGCCCCACTGGAAACGGAATTTCACTTTTTAGGTAATATTTTTTATATTTAGAGATTTTGTATATTGACTGTGATTAACGCGCGTAGTTGTTAACTAAGCCGCAGTAAAAAAATAAGTTTATTAAAATTTAAATATTTCACGTTGTAACCGTTAAAAGTATATAAATAAATAAAGGTTTTCACTAATTAACTTATAATTTACTTAATTTGTGTTATTTGTTACTCTCATAATAAAAGAACACGATAAGTCCTCGATCCCGGTAATCATGCCTAATTTATTGGCGGTAGTCACTAAAGCCCACTACTTTGCATTGTGAGGGGAGTGTTACGTACCTACCTTATCATATAGGAGATCTGTACTCAGTAGTGGCACATTAAGTGGTTGAAACGAAAACACTCACCACCCAGTTTCTTGTTCTCTCGGCCAAGAGCGTCCTTCTGTTCGCGGGTCTTGTCAAGCTCGTGACTGATGCGCTGAATCTCAGTCTGCTTGTTGCGGAGGTCACGCTGGCTCTGTTCGTACAGCTGAACTGTCTCCTCGAGGCGAGACTTGATTTCAATGTTCACACGCTCCAATTGATCAGTCCTCTTCTGGAGCTCCCTAGCTGTTCCATTGGCCTTCTCCAAGTCGATAATTAGCACTTCAACCTAAGCAAAGTTTATTTTATCTATAGTTGGTACATGTAGATCTATTAAATAATTAAAAGATAAAATTATGACTGTCAACTAAAAATTTACTCTTTTAAGAAGTTTATGGCCCATTTTTTTAGTTTAGTTGGTATAGAATTTTGAAATGTTAAATTCAGTTAGATCAAGGTATTGAAGATTAGAGGTGAAAAGCATGTATTGATTACTCACTTCGCTCTGGAGACGAGACTTCTGCTTTTCAACGCTGCTGATCTTAGCAATGAGGGTTTCAATCTGTTCTTCTTGCTCCTGGATACGGATGGAGTACTTGCGACGGATTTCCTCAATTTCTTCGGCTCTGGCAGCAGCTTCAGCCTCGAACTTCGACCTCCAGTGCTGGACTTCACCGTTGGCTTTAACCAGTTGGCGCTCAAGGTCCAAACGAGCCTCAGACTCCTCTTCAAGTTGGACGCGGACAGATTCCAAGTCAATTTCAACCTATAACAAGAAGAGATAGTAGTTTAAATTTTATCAGGCAAATAGAGAAGTGTAGACTAAATAACACATTAAAGATACATACCTGGTGAAGGTTGGCTTCAAGAATAGAGCGCCTTCTTTCATCATCTTCGAGCCTGCGACGCGCGTCCTCGAGCTGGCTAATGACCTGGCTCTTAAGGTACACTACGTTTTCGATGTTCACCTGTAATTTAATTAAATTATCATAGAATCTTTCATCATAAGGAATTCTACAACAACTAGTCTCAAATCTTACCTTCAGGTCCTGAACTTCCTTAACGAGCTCAACGTTCTCCTGGGACAGGCGCTGCTTGTGCGATGTAATGTCAACAATCGTACGGTTCAATTCTTCGATCTTGACGTGAAGCTCACTGATGGTGATTTCTAGTCTTTCACAAGTCTTAGAGATCGTGATCTTTTCCTTGCTTATGTTTTCCACTTGGGCCAACAGCTCGTACACTTCAGCCTGGAACTTAGCCTTTTCTTTCTCGACCCTGTTGACAATAAAACTAAAATGCAACCATCCGTCGACTACAAAGCACAGTCGTGGTAAAAGGAGAGTACATAATTATGATGTAGGTCTAATGAGCATATGACGCACAGCCTTAGGTTAAATCGCATCAGATACAACTAAATGGTGAAGGAGCAATAGTCCTCACCTGCTTTTGCCGTGTGTAAGTTTGTCAATTTGTTCCTGGAAGTCGACGACAATTTCTTGGTGCTTCCTCTTAAGCAAATGAGCTGTTTCTTCTGATTCGAGGTGAACATCTTCGAGGAGTTTACGAAGCTTGGTTAGTTCCGTGTCTCGTTTTCTGTTGATCTCGAACTGCAAAACGTAATAAGCAATATTCATATCACGTGCCCACGTTTAGAGTTTTGGGAACGCATTTGATTCAATAAGCATTTAATAAACAACTTTCACAATGTTTATATCTTTTTTGTTTATTAAACCAACGGCGCTTTTAATTCCGTAAGTGACGTCATATCTAAAAAGGAACACATTACAAGAAAATTTAAATAAACATTTCGCAGTCGCTTTTATAAAATAAATTCGCAAGGCAATATAGCAATATAGTAACAAGGGTGAAATAATAAAAATGTATATTTTATATAATTAAATACGATATCGTTTATTCCTCCATATAAGTATTTTGGTCCAATTTTGTATGAATACTTTTGGATCTTCTCGATCTATATCTTCTTTCTTATCAATTCAATTCTACATCTTCTTGGTTCATCAGCGTTTCTTCTATCTTGGCTCAAGATTGTGTTTCATGTTTTTAGGTTTATTTAAGGTTATTTACATAGCTCTATTTATAAAGTGTGTGGGTATATTACCTGACTCTCAGCTCCACCCTCAGCCTCTTCTAGCCTTTCCGAGAGCTGGATAACTTGCACACTTAAGTCCGCCTTCTCTCTTTCGATCTGAAAATATAAGTCTCTTAAGTATTTGCATTAAAAGAAAGCAAATACTGATTAGCTCTTCCAAACTAATTGATTATGTGAGTAGTAAAAACTGCAGCCATTTTTATATACCTATATTATCATATTATTAATAGAGCTACCGTTAATTATATTTAAAAAAAAACTGATTGTATTGCGAACAAATATAAAAGTAATTAAAACCATAGATTACATCAATTGAATCGTGTGCGGACCACAGAGCGCGAAAAACAAAAGATATGTAATCAAAACTAAGGTTGAAAGCCCGTTTAATAGATTTTTTACAAACATGCCAGATTTAAGACCGTCAAGTGTTTTCCATATTTGAATTAATAAAAGTATTTGAATTAAAAAGAAATTAAAACGTACCCTGGTAGATTGGCTCTAATAATTTTAGTCCGAGCGCGTATCGAAATTGTTTCAAAATAATTTTTAAATGGTAGTTGATAGTAAAGTATTTTAGATCCACAAAGGCTTTTCTAATCTCCTATGAAAATCTATAACTGTTCAATAAGTAACAGATGAAATTCCAAACGATGATGTAATTCGTCCTTCAGTCACATTGTTCTAAGCTAAATTAAGAACCAGTTCAACTTTACAGTTCTGAGTAATCCGGATATTTTCGCCGGCAATTTCTAGATCTATTATTATATTTGAAAATTGTGGCAATCTCAGCGAACAGGCATCTTTTGGCCCAGTTTCAAAAGTGAGATCGGAGACCGAGAAGTTAAATTTCATGAGAATGCTTGTTGGGCGGCTAAATATACCGCAGCGCGTAAGAACAGTGTCGAGATGTATTCAGCAAGTGCCTACTGCGTGCGTAGCGCGTCGCCTAGGCTCTATTTAAAAATAGAACGTGCCCAGCTCGGTAGGACAAACTACTTGCAAAATCGATACATTCTTTTTAGCATACACTTAAACATTTTTTCGTTAGACAAACTTAAGCAACACACAGTTACTATTCATTAGTAGGAATATTATATAAAAAAAGATTTACAAGGTTCTAAACCAAAAATATTTTTTTTAATATAATTTTAACGAAATATTTTTTTTTTCACTTTAGTGCTTTTTTATAAAAAATAGACTAGGAATTACGTAAAACAAATGATTTAGTTAATGATAACACTAGCAATTATATGCCTTTACGTCTTTTACGCATTTTATTTGGCGTTTAATTAGTTTCAAGGTGAGAATAACAATAGTTATTTAACAAGGTTTTTACGTAAGGGCGTAAAGGTAAGGCGGCAAAACGAGGGCGGCGGTATTAATAGAGGTATCGCGTGGCCCCGCCCACACCTGCGCCAGCGCGCCTGCTATGGCCGCGCCGAACGCTCATATCACATTTCGCGCTTACCCTCTGACGTAGCTCCCTTTCGGATTCCAGGTCATCGTGGAGGAGACGAATCTTGTCCTGAAAAGAAACATATTCTATCATGTATCCGCAATCACTTCACAAACACTGCACTGATCGAAGGCCCGGTACCTCCAGTCTGGAGAGAGCACTCAGGTCGGCGCTGTACTCGATGTTGACGTCGGTGGTGCCCCCGCCGCTGCTGCGGTAGGTATACTTGGAGGTCTTCGCCACGGCGGACATTGTCGCTGGTTCGTCTCTCGGTCGGCAGTCGGCGCTACGTTACCGGTCGGGCACCGTTCGACTAGTGAGAGCGGGAGCGGGTTGCGTGCGCGCATCAACCGCTCCGCCCCCCGCCGCGCGCCCCTCGCCGCTGCTGCTCCAGGGCACCGCGGCGTGCCGGCTGGAGCTCACGGATCGTGTTACCACCCCCGCGCACCCCTCTGTCGGCCTTTTATAGACACGCCCGCCTTACGTCTTCATACTTCTCTTTTATTTGTTTTGCCCAAAAGAATTGGCGAAACCTTTCGCGGGGTGGCGCCTATGCATACGACCCAGACGCGCCGCATGATCCGTGGCCTATCTAATGCACAACGCCGCTGCGCTGGCACCGAAATGATCTACGCGAAGTGCATCAAATCGATTGAACTTAACAATGAACTTCTTGTACTTTTAAATCAATCTCAAGAAGTTCGCTGCGGACGTTTTACTGTTTACAAACATCAATCAAATCTAAATTTAAACACCTTGACTTGCGAGCTGTATAACGTCGATAATAGTTATGTTACGAAGGAGACATTGATTGAAATCCGTTTTAATTAAGCCTTTGTACACACGAAGTTATGCACCTACGTAGAGTTCGTAGCGTCTTTTATCGTAGCTCTTGACTCTACAGTGGACAAATATTTAGAATTTCATTTGTTAAGAGCACTTAACAATATTCAACTTTTACAAATCATAATTAACTTAATACAATAAGCAAAGATCCCTGTTAGGTTTATATACCTACTATACATAAATATACAATATACCTAGGTTGTGAGTACGAATCTCGTAGACATATACCTACTTAGTTTGGCGACGGGCAGCGCACAGAGATCTTAACCAAAGTAGTTTCTTCTACAGAGAAGGATCTGTAGACAATGTTTACCACAAACAGACACTAAAATATGTATATATTTTACTGAAATCACAGTAAATAGCTGAAATACAAAAATTGTGACAGAGAATGATTAACAATTAAAATATTCGATTTTATAGCTATGTAAAGTTTTAAGGGAAATAAAGGTAAAGTTATGTTTGTAATACAGCTTTTCTGGTTTAACCGAAATCTCTATGTTTTTCTAAACTGTACAACATCTAATGAGATGAAACCTTTATTGGCTTAAGTTTTTCATCTTATCTATAACCATAATTTTGCCACCAATCTCTAGTTCATGAATTGTAAATGAAATGATAAGATTCATTTAAGAAGCCGGAGATAACGTTGAGTCATCATTAATCATTGCTCTATTTCAGTTTCACTTGGTACATTCATGTGAAAAATATAGTAAAAATATATATTAATAAAATTTTGTGTTTCTAGACAAAGTGTTGTAGTACATTAATTTCTATGCCTTTATATTTCTCTAAAAGGATACGAATACGAAAGTGAAGAACAGTTACAATAAAGTAGACTAGATTCCCTATTGAAGTAGAAAGACTGACAATAAAAAAAGTTTAATTCGTATGTTTAAAAAATTATAATTATTTATTATATATGTTTAAAAACATTATTAATTTATTGTTATTATAACGTAAATAAACCACCGCAAATGCTCGGGGTTTGTTTCACATTAAGTGCGTGAGTAAATTGTAAGAAATACTTGGCGATTAAAGGAGTGGCGGTTTGATTTGATTATTCTTTGTTGTCGTCGACGTAGGTATATGAAATATAATAAATTAACTTAGACTTTCAGTCATGGAACAAATTATAACTTTCCTATTTTTCTTTATATATATGGATATCTTTTTGACATACCTTTATAGTTGTTGTTGTTCTGAAACTTGTTTTTCTATAGGCTGTAACGTGTCGAAAAATTAAACTTTATAAAGTTTACAACCAATATAATAGTAAACGTCAATATTAAAAAAAGACACTTCTAGTTTTTAAATGTTAGTAGAACTAGCGAGAACAATTGGCAAGAGACTCTTTTATCGCCAAGATATATTTTACAAACGTATTCTTGCTCTATACTACATACGTAGAGCGAGAAGCTTTTCGTTGAAATAAATTATGAGAGCGAAGCAATATTCTTTTGCTAGTTTAATATAGTATATTGTGTACTTAACTGTGCTTGTCTCGCTTTTCAGGCGCTGCGCAGGTGGACGCAATATTCGTTTATATTTGTCCACCTGCGATGTGGACCAAATGTTTTCCGTATAACCTCGCTTCCCGCCACTCCGCTTGCGATGATTCACCTATCCTGATATATCTTCACTCTTCATTTTAATATAGGCCAATAGTCTCGTTGTTGATATGCGGATTCGAATTCCGGGGAGAAAGAAATTAAAAAATAATCCCGTTTGCGTAAATTAAGAGAACAGAAGATAGACTTAGTCTTCATGACTGTAAAAAAAGGGCTTTTTAATAATTTATTTTAACGAAAAGTTGCCAGGATTTATTTCATATAATAGTGCGCGTGAACACTTGTAAAATAAATAGTTGGCAATCAAAAAAATCCTTGCTAGTTCTTCTCGTTAGTTCTACGACCTAATGTGCGAACTTGAAGGTATAAAAAAGGTGAATTTTATTACCGTTTCACTGATTCGCTCTACTTACCTTTGTTTATAATATTTAACCCAAAAGAAAACATTTGTACTATTGATAGTAGGCGAGTTGGGGTGTTAAAAGTAGGTGGATATCGCAATTAAAATACAAAAACGTGAAATCGTGTTGTTGGTATTTTTACGTCACATAAATAACTTGGATTGTTGGCAGAGGCCGCGATGACTCCTTTATGACTGAATCGGGTATAAAGATTGAAATAACTTTATTGTTGGTGGCACCGATTACTTGCGTGATTTGGAAAGGTGTTATTAACAAGGAGCTAACACATTTCTGTGTCCGTCTCACTGGTTTATTTAGAAGAAGTTGATCTCATGCGGTTTGGTTAACCGAAATAAATTATTATAATTCCCACATGCTTTTTTATAATAGAAGAGAACAGGCAAGCATGGGGTTCCCTTTATGGAAGGAAAAATAATTTATCTATATAACATTAAATCAAGCTGTCGATCAATTTTGGCTTTGGTTATTCGGAAATCCACAGACTAAAACCTAAACGGGATTAAACGCTGCTTTTTAATTTTTAGGTGGTGGTTCGTGACCCGGACGGAATTTCGGTATTCCTACCCCCCATTTTATATAAGATGTCTAACGAGTTGCAGAAAAATTATATATTGATTGAAACATTTTGGACCCGACGGGGATCGAACCCACGACCCGTTGATTAGTCGTACATTACCCTGACAACACTGAGCCCGTTTAAATCCAGAATCTCTCGCTCTCGCATTTTCCTACAGGAAGCGTTTCACTGACATCGGCCTTAAAAAGTGTATCCGTATTTATTTTATTCAAATTAAGTTACGTATATTGTACGGTATAACCATAAACTTACCCTGATGATTCACATGCTGAAAGGACAAATGCCTGAGGCAACATTAATGGTTAAGTGCGCTTGGCTTTGGCTTTAGACTGATATTGAGACGCGAATCTCGATATCGCCTCGTGGGGCATGGGGCGAACACATTTCTGCGTTCGTTTCATTGATACGTTCTTTTAACGGGCAAGTAGTTGATCAGACTTCTGTGCCCTGCACGACCGAAACATATTTCTTTGTTTCCCTGGGTTTCGAACCCAGGACCTCTCGCGCTCAACGTTACGTTTAACCATTTGGCTACAGAGCCAAATCCAGGTAATCTAGTGAAGATTTAAATGGTAAACTTGTAAGTTCGAATCTAACGTAATGTAAGTAATGCATGCTAATCCATAAAAATAAAATACACTTTTAATCTTATTTCTTTTATGATATATATATTTCTTAAATAGATTTTTAGTCTTCATGATATTACCTACAATTAAAACGTTACATGCATAACTAACTCTTTTGGCAGTGTCTTACTAGTTTCAAAGACTGGTTAAAAAAGAACCGCACAGCGTACAGTTCGATGCATGCATTAGAAGGCAAGAATAGGCTCTGTCAGTTTGAGGAGAATTTACATTGAAACATTAATTTTTGCTATTGATATCTTCATTAGTATTGTTATTTACTTTCGATAATGAACTTTTACGTTACGTTATTATAAAATATTCGTATTAGATAAAACTTTGTATTCTTCCCTGTTATGTAAAAAGGTTGTATATACCTTTGATGGATCTGAACTAAACGCTTACTTTTTATAAAGTATGGGAAATTGTAATTTAGTTTAAACTTAAATGTGTATATATCTACCTAAATGATTACTGATACTATCTATAAATTGCGAAAACGGGTTGTGGTTAAGGTATACACTAATTATATATACATTTTTTAAAACAAAATGAGAAAATTATGACTATGGAGACGCCATGTTTGTTAGTAAGCGATCTTTTCCAGACAAACCTTGTTATTAATGTAAAATTAATTTAAACAATCTCTCCACAAACTCGGGTCTACTGAAATTAAGATTGTGATTCAACAACATACATTGATAAATAACAACACTTTAACGGTTTAAAACGTGATATATACGAGTATTAGTTAAACTCATTCGAGCACGAGGGGCTGCAAAGCATCCGAAACGCCGATCCATTGTTAAAATAATTTTCAAATTAAAGTATTTTGTTGTTGTACTTATACACCGCGTCATCTAGTAGCTTGCAATACATATTGTTATTTATAATACGGGTAGCGCAGCTGATGTTGAATTAATTGCTGCTGGAGTTCTTGGCAAGTGAGTTTCGTTAACTGTCAAGACGCTGTCATTTATATACTCAGGTCAGCGCAAGTGTATGGTGTAAATCTTGCTCCACAATGCTCTACATTATTTCATCCTGTACTCCTAATGTAGACCAGAAATTACATATAATAAACTATGTTAGCCTACACACTATTTTTGAATAATGTTTTAATATAATTAAGAGTTTGTACTACGCGTCAGCGTGCGATAGAAAGGGCTATGATCGGAATTACCCTGCGTGATCGAATCAGGAATGAAGAGAT